TAAGCCTTGTGTCCACATTTAACTGAAAGGGAGGCTGTTCAGAGTATCCGGCTAAAACTAGAGGGTTCTATTACTCACAGGAAATAAAATATAATTTAGAAAGATTACAATAGCCATGAGTTATGGGTTTTGTTACAATAATATTAGAATAACCTGTCATTGTTAGATTGTTCATCATTTACTTAATTATTTAGCTAACAAGAAAAGCAAAATTATACTTGTTTAACATTTAACCTACTTAGATAGTTGGGCAGGGGGATGAACATTTTAAGTGAGGCTGAATCAATTTCAGGTTTGGCAAAATACACAAGGACGGAAGTTTTCCACGAGAGGTTCAGAGCTTCAGTGTGCCCAAGAATAACCTAGAAAAGCAGGACTTGGATTTTGAATCCTATTTTCCAGTAGTGACCGCCTAGGAAGCTTCCAGATCAACTTGCCAGTCTGTGTCTTTGGTATATTACTGGTGAGGTTCTTTCCCATTAAAGCTGTGGTTCTTAACCTTCTGGCCCTTTAAATACAGTTCCTCGTGTTGTGACCCAACCATAAAATTATTTTCGTTGCTACTTCATAACTGTAATGTTGCTACTGTTATGAATCGTAATGTAAATATCTGATATGCAGGATGGTCTTAGGCGACTCCTGTGAAAGGGTGGTTCGACCGCCAAAGGGGTCGCAACCCACAGGTTGAGAACCGCTGCTTAGGCTCTTGTATAGAAAACTCATTGGTACATATAGGAGGCTGGAATAGATATGAGTAAATATGGGGATATCAATTCATAGGTTATTTTAAAATTAAGGGCAAGCCCTAGCCGGTGTGACTCAGTTGGGCATTGTTCCGTGCACCAAAAGGTTGCCAGTTCAATTCCAGTCAGGGCATATGCCTGGGTTGCAGCTCAATCCCTGCTAGGGGGCATGCAGGAGACAGCTGATCAATGTTCTGTTCCCACATCAATGTTCTGCTCTCTCTCCCTCTCCCTCCCCCTCTCTCTCCAAAAATTAATAGCAATATTAAAAAAAAATTCCAGGCAGGAAATATTGGTAACTCTGATTAGGTAGTGATGAGGACTTGCAGTGAAATGGAATATTAATAGGAAATTATTTTAACTGAGTGACAAAAATAATAACAGTATCTTACTTGAGATTGTTAATTTCTCTTTTAAGTGAAAGTCCAGAGGTAGGTAATGCAGGATTGATATAGTACTTCACAGTGCAAGGAAACCAGGCTTCTATTTTGCTTTATGTAATTCCATTTCCTAAGGTCACCTCATGGTCCGAAATGGCTGCTGCAGCTCCAGCCATCATGTCAATATTCCTGCTAGCAGAAGGGAGGAAAAAGAGGGGGAGAATGAGATTCCACTTCAATTTAAGGATACAGCACACATTCCATTGCCAAAACTAAGCCTTGTGTCCACATTTAACTGAAAGGGAGGCTGTTCAGAGTATCCGGCTAAAACTAGAGGGTTATTACTCACACAGAAGAAGAAAACAGAGTTTGAAGGAGGACCAGGAGTCTCTAGCATAGGAGAAATATACAGGACCTAATGATGGCTTGGATTGGGGCATAAGAGAGGGGCAGGAGTAGAAGATGAATGGATGTAGCTGTCATTCACTGACATTAGATCCTAAATTTCCAGTCTCTCACCACCCATTCCTGATCCTCTTCCCTCATCCCCTATAAATACTAATCATCAACCTACTGAATTACCAATCTTCTAAAAATACATTGGATACATTAGAGATGGATGCAGGTTTGTAGGGCCTGAAGCTCATTTCAGGGACCCATTCTAAGAGATTGAAAACAAATTACAAATACAAATTAAATATAAGGCCCTGGAAGGGCACGATGCAAATGAGGGACCCCAAAACGTGAACTTCATTCACTTTAGGATGCTTTAAGCCTCACCTTTACTTTATCACCAATAACAAAATTGTAAGATGCCATGGATTGTTAGGTGTATCCTAGTTTCAGAGAAATTAAATGTAGAGAAATGAATCTTAAAATTAGTGAAATAATCTATGTTTAGATCTCAGAATTGGCCATTATATTAGTCAAGGATCTCCAGAAGAAGGGGTAGGGAGAAAAGTAGATAGGTAGGTAGATATAGATATTGGGAGAGAGGTTGATTGATTTATTAGGAGGAATTGACTGCCATCTACAAGCTGGAGATCCAGGAAAGTGGTGGTATAATTCCAACCCAAGTCTAAAGGCCTGAGTACTAGGGAAGTCAATGGTATAAATTCCAGTCCAAAGGCAGGAGAAGACCAATGTTCCAGCTCAAGCAAGCATGCAAGAAGAAAAAACAGGAGGAGACAGATTCCTTCTTCCTTTTCTTCTGTTCTCTTCAGGCTTTCATCGGATTGGACGATGCTCACCCACACTGGGGCAGGCAATCTACTTTGCCAACCGCACCAATTCAATGTTAATCTCATCCAGAAGCACTCCGAAATCATGTTTAATCTGAACACCCCATGCAGAAGTCATGTTGACACATAAAATTAATCATCAGAGCTATGTGTATATCCTCTTTCCTTTGCCTGCAAGCTCTCTTTCCTCCTCCTCCTGGCAAATTTCTAGTTATCCTTAAAAGTCAACTCTGAATCTCCCTTCTTTGGGAAGCTTCCTGAACACTTCCCAACCCCTGGGGAGAGCCCTCTCCAATAGCACCCAGTGTGGATCCATATGGAGCCCCCTGACCCTGGTGAAAGCATATGCTCACTTAGTCTATATAGCCTACTAGGTTCCCAGCTCCCTGAGTGTAGGAATGACACCTAATTGATGTGTGTGTCGACAATGCTGAACATATATTTTATAGAGGCTCAACAGGTGTTTACGGAAGGAAGGAAGGAAGGAAGGAAGGAAGGAAGGAAGGAAGGAAGGAAGGAAGGGAGGGAGGAAGGAAGGAAAGAAGGAAGGAAGGAAGGAAGAAAGAAGGAGGGAAGGAAGGACGTTCTTCTCCATGAGATAATTTGGCAGCCCAAAGTATCTATATTAGGCTATAAAATGTATAACTCTCAGATGAACGGAAAGAATGACTCTTATTATCTATAACTGATTTAGTTTTGCTTGTGAATCCTCACCCCACTGAGCAGTAGAAGGAAGGAAAAAGGGGAGAGGAAAAATGGGAGACTCGTGAGCTTAAATTTATCAATTATAGGTATCCTAGTATCCTCAAGTTTAACTGCCCCTTTAGGTAGCTGGTCTCTTTCAGAAAAATTGTTAGTCTCTCCTCTCACTTCTCCCTCTTGCTTCGTGGGCATTCACATGATCCCATGGTAGGGTTGGAAAAATGAGGTCTGAGCTCTGCACAACAATTGTGAGTCCTCGATAAGGTAAAGCAGGTTTCATCTGGCCTTTTGTGGCCCCGGCTGGCAACCACTCCTGACACCAAAAGTTCCAGCCATTTACTTCTAGTTGTAAAGCCTTAATGCATTGTGACCTCTTAGCTCCACTGTTCACCAGACTGTTCACCATCTTTCATCATTTTACTTCCAGCGGGAATGCATGAATATGTAGATTCTCCCACACAGCACCTTCAGGCCGCTGAGAACCAGCAGGTATCTCAGGATACCAAACAAGGCCACCTCTGCCATTGTTCCCGAGTCATGTTCAGGGGTGCAGAGCCAAATGCAAGGCCTCTCCTTCTTCCTTAGTGGAGTAGACCACCAATTCTCTACAGGTTCTCTATTACCACATATACTTGGGTGCTTTTCTACTACCCTGCCCTGCACCCCCCATCCCCATTCTGAGACTTCAGCCAGAACAGGATAGGTATGCCTGCCTGCTGCACTTATTCAAGCTCCGTCTCCATCCACCCTCCACCAGACCAAAGTGGAAAGACGCCCTCCTTCCCACTCAGCAGGTACTTTCCTTATGTCATAGCCTCCATCTTCTCTACCATATGGCATATGCTAAATGACACTTTTAATTTTGCCAAGGTTTGGATTTTGAAGGTAATGGAGCTTTAAATTTTTTAAAACCTTTCTTTCTTAGTAATGTCTGTTGTTTTTCCAAGACTACTGTGTTTCTTGGAACTCAAAAGTCTTATTTTTTGAACAACTCAAAAGTTGTTTTTCTTCTGCATTCCAAGCATCGCAGTTATGTTTCTCCTTGGAGGCTGATAGATGCTCCTGGACAACCAAGGAGAGGGTTTCATAAGAGAAATGCAGAACTGATTTAACATGTTTTCAAATTTTATTATCTTCATTATGCATTTTTCTTGCAGCTGCCAACCCATTCATTCATTTATATGGCCTTTTTAATGTCCCACATTATTTCCTAGAGGGCAAATTTATCTCTATTTTGGAGACACCCAGTAGGAACATAATAAGTGTCATAACTGAGTTTCAAATTTTGAGGCAGTCACTGCACAACATAATTGAATGAATATGTAATTTGACTATGATCCCAGAGATGACAGGGATTGTGAAAAATCGTTTGGTGCCTAAGAAGAACCTAACCCTTTGAACCCATTGAACTTCCAAATCCCTCTAGTAAAAAACTCTCCTGGGCTTAGATGCTGGGCTTCTGTCATCTATATACACTAGGTGGCAGGAGGCTGCCTGAAGCCTGCCCCAAGTGAGCTCGCACTGGTGATTAATATGGCACTTATTCTGTGCCCCAAGGCTCAGGACATCCATTTATAACAGCGATTCCCACCCCTGCGTCCTGGCAACGTTTGACAATGTCTGGTCACATTCTTGGTTGTCACAGCTGGGGAGGTGCTACTGTCCTCTAGCGGGTAGAGGCCAGGGATGCTGCTGAACATCCTACCGCGCACAGGACGCCACACCACCCACAGTGAAGGATTATTGGACTCCAAATGTCAATACGCTTAAGTTGAGAAACCCTGATGCAGAACATTCTATTGAATTGATTCGAGTCATATGGATCTTGAATGTGAAGAGTGCATTTTGGCACGGTCGCCCAATCACGGTCAGGTTAGGAGCCTATCGGCGACCGCGTCCGGCTAATTTTGAGCCGCGCCTCCCACCGTCCGCGGTCACGTGTCGGCCCTCCAGGCCGCGTCGGTCGGTGGGGGTGGCTGTGCCGGGCGTCGGGGCAGGAAGGGAGGCGGCCGCGGTGCCATTCTTAAAGGGGCCCGAGGGAAGGTGACTGCCGGAAGGAAAATGCAGATCCAAGCAACAGCAGCCTCCTGATCACCACACCCTCTGTCTGAGGAACAGCAGCTGTACGTGAAGCCTCCCCCCACCAGCCAGAAGAGCCACCACAGCTGTGAACA